TGTGCTGTTCCTATTCACCACCAAACACTGTGACTGCTCCTTGGTTTTGCTCCCCTCGGGTTTCCTGTCTCCTTGATGGTTTATGCGGTGAGGAAGCTGAGGCCACACACTGGTAATTTTCCCAGTACAGCTGGAGGTGTGGTGGTGTATTTGAACTTAATGGAACACCTCTTATTCTCTTCACTCTGAAGTTGGCTTCCTTGCCTATAAAGTTTACTAATAAATCTAAGAAATACAACGACTTTGCATTTTACTGCTGCCGTGTTGAAAATCTCTCAACTTCACAGCTGCTCAGGCCTCGTTACTTTCAGAGGGAGCCTTTTCACTTTTCTTCCTTATCTACTTCTCTCATTCCTTTATCATTTATATTTTTAATATGGGAAACTAGACATCCTGTTTCTCAGTTTCCAGATTCTGATACTACAGACTGCTATTGATTCAACAATATGGTCCTTTTCCCAATGACATACACCACATTCTTCTGAAATACAGATGGTTTCCAAACTACCATGGTTTGACTTACAATTTTTTGGCTTTACGAGTGTGAAAGCAGTATGCATTCTATAGAAACCATACTTACGTTTTGAACTTTGATCTTTTCCTGGGCCAGCAATATGCCCCCAGGTACTCTGGAGATGCCAGAGAGCTCCTCGTCAGCCAGTGATGAGGGGGAATGACCCCTGCTCTACAGGGCACTGTGTGGCCAGGTGAGTTTGCCCAGTTGTAGGCTAAGGTACGTGTTCTGAGCACATTTAAGGCAGGCCAGGCCACGCTGTGATGTTAGGTAGGTTACATGTATTCAATTTTTTTTTTTTTTTTTGAGATAGAGTTTCACTCTGCCACCCGGGCTGGAATGCAGTGGCGCGATCTCAGCTCACTGCAGCTACACCTCCTGGGTTCAAGCGATTCTCCTGCCTCAGCCTCCTGAGTAGCTGGGACTATAGGCGCCCGCCACCACGCCCGGGTAATTTTTTGTGTTTTTAAAAGAGATGGGATTTCACCATGTTGACCAGGCTGGTCTGGAACTCCTGACCTCAGGTAATTCGTTGGCCTCCCAAAGTGCTGGGATTACAGGCGTGAGCCCCTGTGCCTGGCCTCAGTGCATTTTTGACTTAAGTATTTTCAACTTACAATGGGTTTATTGGACATGATCCCATCCTGAGTTAAGGAACATCTGTAGTCTACAAAGAGATACTTGCCAAAGTGTTCATTTAGTTCTGCTGTACTTTAAATAAAAGATATGTGTATCTTTAGTTCAAAGCTGATGCCTTGGAACAGTCTCAAACATGAGAAGAATATTCCAACAGCAAGATGGAATCATTGTCCTGCAGCGTTGAAATTAGACCGGTGGTGTTTGCATCCTTTTTCCTTGAGAATAAATTTTCTGGATTTTAGTCTATATACTGAATAAAGCCTAGAGGTCAAAGAATAGCAGGGACTTCTGAAGATTCAGGAGTGGCTTTAGAGAGATAGCGGGGACATCATGATGGTTTTCAGCTCTTTAAAAAGATAGGTGTGGGTCAGGTGCGATGGCTCACACCTGTAATCCCAGCACTTTGGGAGGCCAAGGCGAATGCATCACTTGAGGTCAGGAGATCGAGACCAGCCTGGCCAACATGGTGAAACCCTGTCTCTACTAAAAATACAAAAATTAGCTGGGCATGGTGGCGGGTGTCTGTAATCCTAGCTACTTGGGAAGCTGAGGCGGGAGAATTGCTTGAACCTGGAAGATGGAGGCTGCTTGCAGCCAAGATCATGCCACTGCACTCCAGCCTGGGCAACAGAGTGAAACTCCATCACACACACACAAAAAAAGGCATGGACCTTAATTCATCCCAACTCAGTTTTTGTAATCATGTGCAGAAACAAGTAACCTTATATATATAAAAAGGTGGGAGAGAATGTAAACTTGGACTTTATTTATTCACAGTTACCAAGCAGTTTGGTTGATACTGTCTCTGAAAGCATGGACAAGTGAAATGTGTAAGAGCAGAGCTCTTGGGGGCCAGGTGTAGTGGCTCATGCCTGTAATCCCAGCACTTCAGGAGGCTGAGGCAGGTGGATTGCTTGAGCCTAGGAGTTTGAGAGCAGCTTGACAACATCATGAGACCCCATCTCTACAAAAAATACAAAAATTAGCTGAGTGTGGTGGCACATGCCTGTAGTCTCAGCTGCTCAGGAGACTGAGACTGGAGGATTGATTGAGCTTGGGAGTTTGAGGCTGCAGCAAGCTGTGATTGCACCACTGTACTGCAGCCCGGGTGACCACATGAGACACTGTCTCCGAAAAAAAAAAAAAAAGAAAGGAAAAAAAAAGAGCAGAGCTCTTGGACAAAGCCCTGCTGTGGAAAGCTTGCTTCATCTGGCTCCAGCCACTCCACAACGCCTGTCTTCTTGCTCAGGAAGCCACAGCACTGCTCTAGGAAAAGGGCAGAGAGGGACGGGGTCTCCCACAGCTGAGAATCCTTTAAACGATGCCCGTAGGGCCCTCTGCTGTGGATTTGGTAGTTCTGCCTGCACTGAGGGAGATGCTTGCAGGTACTTCCAAACCCTGTGTTTGGGAATTAGCTGCGCAGACAATTCAGGCTTTTAGGTCTAATAAAATGTGTGTGCCTTTGACCCTGTGGTTCTGAGTCCTTGATGTTAATGACAGAGCTGACATTGGAGCCCTTCTGTCTGCCAGCCAGCACCTCATTGGAAGTGTTTCATGGAAACGTCACAGCCACATGCGGAGGCTGTCCTGTTATTATCCCATTTTATGGATGAGGGAACATTCACACCTAGAAGTTAAGTAAGTGGTCCAGGAAACTACAGTTTACCAGTACCCAAGCTGGGCTTTGAATTCTGACTGCCTCCTGCCTCTGTGCACAGCACAGAAGTACACACACGATGCTTTGTAGTATCAGCTTACGTGGAGATCTGTGTTTACGTAGAATGCTGAGGAAACCATGGGCATAGTATGATTTCACCTATGAACCTGTGCATAAAGACTTCTGGAAGGAGTCATTGCTGGGCCACGAGGCTTCACGTGATTTGTGTATTTTTGTAGTCTTCAGTATTGTTTTATAATTAGCGTGTCATTCATGTCGAAGTGTGGGGTTGTTATCAAATAGTAAATTTAGATGTGGGAGAAATTTATAAGTGATTGATTTTCAAAAGATTGCTGTGAAGTTGCTGGTGAAGGATGAGTGATCAGGCACCATCAGAGCTGGAGAGGCAGCAGATGAGAGTTGTGTGTTCCCGGTTGCCTGAAGAGCAGCTGGAGAGAGATGCCTCTGGTGCCAGCCCAGAATACGCGATGTGCATCTTGTCACGTGGGTGTTTGGGCTGGTGCCTTGCTGCTGGCTGGCGCCTTCTTTTCAGGAACATTGTGGGACATGGGTATCCTCAGCCACAGTTTTGTGGACAGGAAGACCCTGGGCCTCTCTGGTTTCTTTTTTTTTTTCTTCTTTTTGAGATGGAGTTTCACTCTTGTCACCCGGGCTGGAGTGCAATGGCGCAATCTCAGGTCACTGCAGCCTCCACCTCTGGATTCAAGTGATTCTCCCGTCTCAGCCTCCCAAGTAGCTGGGATTACAGGCGCCCGCCACCATGCCCGGCTAATTTTTGTACTTTTAGTAGAGACGGAGTTTCACCATACTGACCCAGGCTGGTCTCAAACTCCTGGCCTCAGGTGATCTGCCCACCTCGGCTTCCCGGAGTGCTGGGATTGCAGGCGTGAGCCACTGCGCCTGGCCTAGTTTCTTAACTGAAATAGAACAGAGTAAGGTGGCGTGCAGGGCTCATTAGCGCAGCGGATGAACACCGTGACTCTGCAGCCAGCCGCCTCCTTAGAAAGCGGGGTGTTGCCGGCCGGGCGCGGTGGCTCAAGCCTGTAATCCCAGCACTTTGGGAGGCCGAGACGGGCGGATCACGAAGTCAGGAGATCGAGACCATCCTGGCTAACCCGGTGAAACCCCGTCTCTACTAAAAATATACAAAAAAAAAAAACTAGCCGGGCGAGGTGGCGGGCGCCTGTAGTCCCAGCTACTCGGGAGGCTGAGGCAGGAGAATGGCGTAAACCCGGGAGGCGGAGTTTGCAGTGAGCTGAGATCCGGCCATTGCACTCCAGCTTGGGCGACAGAGCGAGACTCCGTCTCAAAAAAAAAAAAAAAAAAAAAAAGTGGGGTGTTGCCACATGGAAGTGGTGGCAGTGCTTTTCTGGTAGCATTGTTGGAATGAAAACAGGTTCAGTCCTTATTACTAGGCTCTTTGTACCCAGGTACCTCTGGGGACTTGGCAGAGAGTTCGACCTCTCAGTGTCCAGGGGTGGACTTCCTACCTGGGAGTAGCACCGCATTCTTCTCCAGCACCTGCTCCTAACCAGGAAATTGGGGTAGACCAGAACCCCTAGTCTTCCCAGCAGCTCAATGTTTCTTGCCCCAGAGCATGCGCCTTCATCACAGTGACTCTGAACATGCTGACAAGGTGCCATTTGGTAAACCTTAGGATGGCCATGAAAAATGACTCCTTGTTCTGTTTCTTCTGTGGCTTCCCTTGTGAGCAAAGATGAAGGGGGTGGTTTCATTTTATTTTTGTCCTTTACGTTTTAAACATGTTTTAAGTCTAAAGTAAGTGCTCAAATCGGGTGGCTTTTTATTTTATTTTTTTGCTTTCTCGCCCCTCAGGTTGGCCCCTAGCTTGGCCTCACCCTCATGTCAGCTGTTAGACACTGACTCAGTGGCTCAGAATATGAAAGGCTCAGGGAGTAGCATGCTGGCCCCACCTCCCTGTCCCCGTACCTTAGCGGAGCAGCTGCCCAGCAGGGCCTTCTGCACTTTCCCAAGAGTTTACTCCATCCATGGTGGGTGTCTTGGTAGGCCCGAGATACGAGAGGGTGTGCTGCTGTTGCAAGAATTTACGATTGTTCTCTTCAGCACAGAAGTGCTATAAATGGCTCTTTTGATCCTAGTTTATGAAATTATAAATGTCTGACAATTGTGCGTCTTTGGTTTCAACAGCCACTCTGACCTACGACACTCTCCGGTTTGCCGAGTATGAAGATTTTCCGGAGACCTCAGAGCCCGTTTGGATACTGGGTAGAAAATACAGCATTTTCACAGGTATCGGCCGTGCTGGAGCCCACCCTGGTCTGACCGCTTGGCCTGCAGAAGCATTTTGTGATCATTGTTCTCTGCTAACTCTGCCATAACATGTGACTTGCAAACTTAAGGCGTTGTGTGTGTGTGTGTTTTTTTTTCTTTTAAACAACCTCTAGAAAAGGACGAGATCTTGTCTGATGTGGCATCTAGACTTTGGTTTACATACAGGAAAAACTTTCCAGCCATTGGTAAGTACTCTGTTTTATTACAACACGGGACAAAATATACATGTTTTTAGGAAAGAGGAAAACTTACGCTTGTAGATTTGACTTCAATATGCTACGTACTTCATTTGAATCTTCACAGCAATCCTGGTTAAATGAATTGGCCGAGGCCTCCCTTGTAGTAGTGGCAGAGCTAGACTCCAAGGCTCCTGACTCCAGGCCAGTGTATTTTCAACTGCAAATCACAATTTATTCCTGGAGCTGGAAGTCAGTATCATGAGTCACGACCAACATTGTTTTAAATGTAGGACGGAATGGCATAGAAAACTGTGTGTGTCCGCCGTGGGCAGGCAGCATGTTGCTTCAGGGATTTTAGTTTTAGTTGCGTATTTGAATGTGTGTTCTGGGTCACAGCTCAGCAACATGTTTCTTACTTAGGTCCAGAATGTTTGGAAGCCATTCTCTGTAGCCCTCGTCTTTTTTAGTATTTTCCACACTTACCTGTGGGGAGATTTGAAGGGCCAGGTGAATGTGACATGTTTTTATGTAACACTAAAGTACGTTCTGTTAAAAGCCATTCATCACTGTTGTATGCCCTGGAGCTGGAAGGAGATGGGGACTGGTTCTCAGCCTTGCTCTCACCAGCGGAGAACTGAGGCCGGAGGTGAGGGCTGGGCTGGCGTCACGCTTCCTCAGTGCCGGGTCAGGGTTTGGTCCCTCTTCTAGGGGTAGTTTCAATCTTTATCCTGAAGTGAGGTGGAAGTCAAATAGCCACAGTGGCTTGACACTGGAGAACACTGACGCATAGGGACATACGACAGTGTCTCCTTAGGCTGATATTTAATGACACGACACCCCCTTGTCAGATGTGCCCTGGGAATATTGATATTTAATGATATATTTTAATGACACACCTTGTCAGATGTGCCCTGGGAATATTGATATTTAATGATATATTTTAATGACACCCCTTGTCAGATGTACCCTGGGAATATTGATATTTAATGATATATTTTAATGACACACCTTGTCAGATGTGCCCTGGGAATATTGATATTTAATGATATATTTTAATGACACACCTTGTCAGATGTGCCCTGGGAATATTGATATTTAATGATATATTTTAATGACACACCTTGTCAGATGTGCCCTGGGAATAGCTGCTCGTTCCACAAGGGCTTGTTTTGCAGCTGTGCTGAACCTGCTCTCTGGGCGGCCTTGGATGCAGGTTTGTCCCCAGCCTCCATCTCCTTCACAGCCACCCTGCTGCGTGCTGGGAAGGAGAACAGGACTGGAGCGAAGCCTTTCTGGTTTGGCAGAGGCCTTGTGGAGGAGGTAGAAGCTGGGGATGAACCCTGCAGATGAAGCAGCCCTATTGCAGTCCTGAAGGTCAAGTGTGGTGTGTTTCCTTCTTAGCCCCACAGAGATGATTTTTTAAAATGATTAATTCATTTTTTTAATAGATGGAGTTTCGCCATGTTGCCCAGGCTGGACTTGAACTCCTGGGCTCAAGCAATTCTCCCTCAGCCTCCTGAGTGTCTGGGACTACAGGTGCACACCAGCACGCCTGGCTCTGAGATAAGTTTTTTTCAGCAGTGGAGCGAGGGTGATCATGGGCACTGCTGATTGGGTTGTCGGTGGGTGACAGCCACCACTACCCCAAGACACAGGGTTTATCGTCCTTGCCAGTGCGTGGAGAAGCTGCCGGAAGCCCAAAGGTGGGCACAGGGCGAACCTTGTGGTCTGACCCCTGAATCTCTGCTTCTCATCCTGGTGTGCAGCCACCGGCCAGCCTCTTGCCTGCCACACAGGTGGCCCTCTCTGTTGTCACTGCTGTGCAGTGGCATTCCACTGGACCCCTGCTATGGACTGGCAGTGTTTCCCACGTGCCTGTCACATGCCGCGCAGTTCCATGGTGCATGTTGTCCATCTTTCTGGGCCCCAGGGAGTGGCTGTGAGGGAAAGGCCCAGGCACCTGTGCTGGAAGGGCTGAGTTGCCGCGCTTGTGGCCCTTCCGGTGCTCTCGGCAGCACTGGTTGTCATCAGACCTTTGAATTTCTGCCTTTCTGGTAATTGGAAAATGACTTGTCTTGTTTAACTTTGCATTTTCTGGATAACTTATGGGGGTCAGTGTCTTCATATGTTTGTCAGACCTTCCTTTTGCTCCGTGACTGACTTGTTCATGTGTTTTGCCCATTTTGAGGAGGTTGTCGGGACATTTCACTCTCCAGTAAATGTGGCCCTTGGCGTTACTGAGTCCTAAGAGGTGTGTGTTGCCCCAAGTGGAGCTGATGGATGAGGGAGTCGGTGCCTGTGGTGTGGGACTGACCCGCTGCCTCCTGCCAGTGGGCTCGTGGCCTGTGGGGCCATCTGGCCATGAGCACTTCTCTCTGTCTGCCATGACAGGGGGGACAGGCCCCACCTCGGACACAGGCTGGGGCTGCATGCTGCGGTGTGGACAGATGATCTTTGCCCAAGCCCTGGTGTGCCGGCACCTAGGCCGAGGTGAGTCACAGCCCTGGGGAGGGCGCATGGCCCGGTGTTCTCAGGAAGCAAAGGGGACTGTGGGGTCAGGGCTTTTTAGAGCAGGTCACAGGTAAAATACAAAGTAGAAATTGAGGTTTTCTTGAATAATGAGCCACTTGTTTTTGTTGATTTAAAAAACTGACTTTAAAGAATGCTGATAAATCAGCCTGGGCAACATGGCAAGACCCCGTCTCTACAAAAAAGACAAAAATTAGCCAGGCGTGGTGGCTCCTGCCTGTAGTCCCAGCTACTCAGGAGACTGATACGGAGAATTGCTGGAACCCGGGAGATGGAGGCTGCAATGAGCTGAGATTGCGCCACTGCACTCCAGCCTCTGCAACAGAGTTAGACCCTATCTGGAAAAAAAAAAAAAAATGAATGCTGATAAATGTTTTAAATTGCTGAAACTGTTTTCTGTACAGATTTGTTTTGATAACTTGGCATATATGTATTTGAAATCCTGGAGAACATGGGTTTTTACTTTTAAAAGATTCTGGTCGGGCATGGTGGCTCACGCCTGTAATCCCAACACTGTTTTTTGCCGAGACGGGTGACCTTGTGATCCAAGGTCAGGAGATCAAGACCATCCTGGCCAGCATGGTGAAACCCCGTCTCTACTAAAAATACAAAAATGAGCTAGGCGTGGTGGCACACGCCTATAGTCCCAGCTACTCGGGAGGCTGAGGCAGGAGAATCGCTTAAACCCGGGAGGCGGAGGTTACAGTGAGCCGAGATTGCACCGCTGCACTCCAGCCTGGGTGAGAGAGCGAGACTCTGTTTCCAAAAAAAAAAAAAGAAATTCTGAAAAAGGTTTGGATGCCATCTGTATCTTGAGTGTGAAAGTGAAAACTTGTTTCTTGTTTCTCATATTTACGGTAGAGCATACCTGTAATTTTTTTTCCAATAGATTGGAGGTGGACACAAAGGAAGAGGCAGTCAGACAGCTACTTCAGTGTCCTCAATGCGTTCATCGACAGGAAAGACAGTTACTACTCCATTCACCAGATAGGTGGGAGGCTGCAGATTGTGCCAGGCCCCCCCCGGGCTGTTTGGAGAGGGTGGAGTGGTCGGTGGAGTGGTCGGTTTCCTGTAAGAGATTTTCTGGTGTTGTGGGATGTGGAGCAGGAGGCTGTAAACCTGTAAACACTGCCTCTGACGGCCTGTGCACTGCTGTCACATCACCCCCGTGTAATCCCACGTCACCCCCGTCCCACCCCGGCCCAAACCCTGGGCCTTGCCCTTCCTGCTGTCCATGCGGCTTGCAGTGCCTGGTGCTCGGCACAGCCTGGGGAAATTGGCCTCACCCCATCAGTGAATGTGAATGCTCAGATTGGCGTGGGGTGAGTAAAGAGGAGCTGGCCTTTCTTGCAGGCAAGGCCGGCTTTTGAGCCTGTTTTCACTTACAGAAGGAAGTGGTCCCTTCATTCCCGGCTCCTCCCCTTTTCTAAGTTCATAGCGAAGGACAGTCCCCGAGACCTTGTTTGTCCCTTTACGCCTCCCCTAATCTTGTTGGGGCATGCTTCCATCTGAGGCTGGGTAGGGTGCTGTCCAGGCCTTCCTGTGTTGTCTCCTGGCACCACGTGCCACCAGAGGTCAGGGCTGGGGGCGCTGGGATGGTCGGGGCGGGTGTGTGTCGCTAATCTGGATCTGTTCCCTGCAGCGCAAATGGGAGTTGGCGAAGGCAAGTCCATAGGCCAGTGGTACGGGCCGAACACTGTCGCCCAGGTCCTCAAGTATGTACTGAACTTCCGTTGCCGGGCACGGGGCAGCAGGGATGTTCCCTGGGGGTTAAATTCTCCTTGAGTTTTTATGGCTACAGGAAATAAGGGGTCTCTAATTATTTACTTCAGGGCTCTCGGAAGGTTGCCCAGAGGTGACTATGCCAAGTGGTCTTGTGAATGGGAATTTATGTTTTCTAATAAAATGCACACCATAGTCCAGATCCTGGCTGGCAGATTGGACCCTTGTTCTTTGTCTGCTGCATGGATCCACCTGTAATGGTGGCTTCTGATGGGGTGGGCCGCTAAAGCTGGTGGGCAGCTGAAGCTGGTCTGCAGCCATCTGTGCAGGTGCCAGGCCCTTCCACCTCTCCGGGCTTGTTGGAGGCTGCCCTCTGCGGGCCTTGCCACCTGCCTTTCTCACGTTACCCGGAGACTCCCTGCAGCCTCGGAGACTCCCTGTAGCCTCGCTCGCCTTCCCATGCACATCAGCGTCTGAAAGTGCGCTCTGCACCTGCTCCGAACCTGCTTCCTCTCGCGCCTCACTTGGCCCCATTGCATGCTTCCCTCTGCGGCTTCCCCACTCCCGCCCCCCCAGATTCCTCTGAGAGGACCCTCCTGGCAGTTCCAGAAACTTGCCTGTGGTTTCAGTTTTGTGTCCACTCTTCATTCCTCTTGATCCATCCGGGGTCATTTGGTCTGATTCCAGGTGTCCCGGCATCCCAGCATTTTTGGGGAGGCTCTGGCCAGTTCCCCCAGGACCTGCCCCCTCAGGGTCTCCTCCCTACTGGTCCAAGGGCCAGCGTCTCCCCAGCCTGTCTTCAGCCGTGGCTCGCTTGAAGCCTCTCGTTCTGCATCTGCCTGTTCTGTATCCCACTCGAGGTCCTCAGGCACCCCACGTTCCACGTTCCTGAAATGGCCCTGTCTCCCCTCACCCACAGCTCGCTCCTCAGCACGGCAGTCACTGCCTCCACCCAGCTTTTCTGTCAGGTTCCTTGGGGTCCTGCACAAGTCCATCTCTCCCACATCCCACGTCACCCCCGTCCCACGTCACCAGTCTGCTCCTCCGTCTCCTGGGCCCGCCCTGTTTTGGCGTGGCACCTGCTAAGTCCCCACTGCGTGCCCTTCAGAGTCCTCTGTCCAGCAGCTCCCCAGGCCCCACCATACCCCCGCTCACACTTCCTCTTGCTGCTGCCTGGAGTGGCCCCATCAAGTCAGTGCTGTTTCTCTGGAACACCAGGCCACTCACCGTGCTCGCTGTCTCTCCTGGTCCCGTGCCCGCTCCCCACCAGCCCCCGCCCCGTTGCTGGATGATCCTCCCCAACCTGCAAGTGCTGCTGCACCCAAGCACACAGATGGCTTCCACAGTTACACCTGCAAGGCTGATTTGTCCCTGGACTCCAGGCTCAGGTCCAGCTGCTTATTCTGCATTTCCACCTGGGTGTCTGTGGTGCATGGTGACCTGACAGCCAGAGCTCGTGCTGGCCCCAGCCTGCTTCTCCCACAGTGGTCCTTCAGGTGTTCAAACCAAAATCTGGGATTGTGCTAGATCCCTCTTTCTTTTTTTTTTTTTTTTTTTTTGAGACAGAGTCTTGCTCTGTCGCCCAGGCTGGAGTGCAGTGGCACGATCTCGGCTCACTGCAAGCTCCGCCTCCCGGGTTCACACCATTCTCCTGCCTCAGCCTCCTGAGTAGCTGGGACTACAGGCGCCGGCCACCACGCCCGGCTAATTTTTTTGTATTTTTAATAGAGACGGGGTTTCACTGTGGTCTCGATCTCCTGACCTCATGATCCACCCACCTCGGCCTCCCAAAGTGCTGGGATTACAGGCGTGAGCCACCGCGCCCAGCCTCTAGACCCCTCTTTCTTTTTGAGATGGAGTCTCGCTCTGTTGCCAGGCTGGAGTGCAGTGGCGTGATCTCAGCTCACTGCAACCTCTGCCTCCTGGGTTCAAGTGATTCTCCTGCTTCAGCATCCCGAAGTACTGGGATTACAGGCGTGAGCCACCGCACCTGGCCAGGACTCCTCTTTCTTTTTTCTTTTTTTTTTTTTCCGAGACAGAGGATAGCTCTGTAGCCCAGGCTGGAGTGCAGTGGCGCGATCTTGGACTCACTGCTACCTCTGCCTCCTGGGTCCCGGTTCAGGCAGTTCTCCTGCCTTAGCCTCCCAAGTAGCTGGAATTACAGGCATGCGCCACAATGCCCAGCTAATTTTTGTATTTTTAGTAGAGATGGGATTTCACCATGTTACAGGGTGGTCTTGAACTCCTGACCTTGTGGTCCACCTGCCTCGTCCTCCCAGAGTGCTGGGATTACAGGCGTGAGTCCCCAAACCCGGCCAGTTCCTCTTTCTTTCAATGGGCCCATTCAGAATATGTCCAGACTCTGACCAGTGTTCATCCTTTAACTCCCTGTGCTGGTCCAAGCCCCATCTTCTTCTTGTTGATCTTCCTTCTCTCTTTGTCATCCTAGAGTCTCTTTAGCAAATAACAGCAGAGTCATCTGCATCAAACACATTGGCCACTGCTCTGCCCTGAACCGCCCTGGCACTTCGCTGCTGACTCAGGCGGGGTGCTCTACCCCACCTCCCTGGCATGACATCTTGTGCTCCTGGGACACACCAGCCTCAGGGCCTTTGCACGTGTGGTCCCTAACACTTGGACCCTGTTCCCCCAACACCTGCCTGGGTTGCGCCCATGTCTGCGCAGGTACCCTTTGGCACCCGGGGTAGCTACGTTAGCGCCACTCCCCGTTCCTGCGTTACTGTTCTCTGCAGTGCTGACCACCGGCCCACGTGGCTGCTGCTTCCTTGTTTGCCCTTCGCCAGGTCAGCTTTGCCAATGCTGCTGTGTCGCTTGTGTGTGGATGCATCTTCAGCGCTGCAGCTGGGCCGGAGGTGGGAGGAGGAAAGTGGTGTGGGGGTGGGGCGGGGAAGCAAGCTGTCCTCCCATCTTCTGCACTGCAGCTGGGCTGGAGCTGGGAGGACGGAGGTGGTGGAGTCGGGGGTGGGGGTCAGACTGCCCTCCCAGTGTCCCCTTTGGGCTTGAGCATTGGGAGGGCCTGTGTGGCCATCCCAGTCCCGTGCTCCACCCCACCTAACTCCCCTCCACAGTTTTGCATTCTGCTCCCAGGAGCACCAGGTCCTTGCTGCCTTGGGGCGTTTTCTGTTGTTTTACCTTTTGTTGAGGTCCTCTGACCCCACCTCCACCAGACCTGAGAGGAGATCAGAGTCCTGTTAGACTTTTGGCTGCAGAATCCGCTCTTCCCGCGGCCACGGTTCCTCCTCACTGGTGTGCACAGTCATGCTCACCACTAAGCTGCAGGTTTCTCTGCAAGGACTCAGATTCCTTGGTTGTCAGCTCGGCGTGTTTGGTGGAGGGGAGAGTAGAGCAGAGCGTGAAGGTGCTGGGAGGCCTGCCTCAAAGTTGGCAAAACCCACAGTGTCTCAGAGCTGGGTTCATGTTCTAGTTCTTGCCTCTGTGCCAGTGAGACCAGGAAACCAGGCTGCTCAAAACCCTCTTGCGTGTGCTCTCTGTGGAGATTGGGGCAAGGGCAGGCCCCCTGGGCCTCAGGCAAGAAGAAGCAGATTTACTCTGGGCTTTCTTCCTGTCTGTGGCATTGGCTATGCCCCGGACTTTAGGAACCTTGGCCCTTCTCGTCCAAGAAGCACCTCTAACGCGAATACTCCTTCCCATAGCTCTCGCTGCAAAGATGAGATGTCTTTGAATTGTACAAAAGCTTACGGTCATTCTCCTGCTCTCTGTAGGAAGCTTGCTGTCTTCGACACGTGGAGCTCCTTGGCAGTCCACATAGCAATGGACAACACCGTTGTGATGGAGGAAATCAGTAAGTGGCTCAGGGTTTCTGTGGACAAGAAAGTTGAAATTATGGGCAGCACGCGCACTTCCTCGCCTGAGTCTCCACAGGAGCCTCGGCGAGTGTTGTCAGTCGCCCCGTGCCGTGCCGGAGCTCCGTGGGGCCTGCATGCCAAGCCAGATGCACGGTGGACCCGCTGTCCTCTCCCAGTGGTCATACCAAGAGAGGAGCGCCCAGGCTCTCTGGAGGCCGAGACTGGGTATCTCACGTCATGTTTTGTGTCTTGGTTACAAATCATTTGTGAACGCGTGCTGTACTTAGGCGCCCTCGTGTGGGAATTCTGGTGAAGTTCTTTGGCGTGCCTTGATGTGCCACAGATGCAGCAGCCCTCTAGCTGTACCATCTCGAGTAAAGGCGTGTTGTGAAGGCAGAGCTCTTTTCAGCTTTCTGGAAGAAAGGTCTGCTGCAACCCTGAAGAAATCTAGGCGTGGCAGCGTTTACCTCTAGGAGGAAAACTGTGGCTCAGTTTTAACAAATGGGCTCACTGAGTGAGTTCCAAATTCATGTTTCACCTTCCATGATGTAGCCAAGCTGAGAACTCTTAAAAATGCCTCACCACCTTCTTTTACTCAGGGCCACCTTTTTCCCAAGGAACTTCTCAAAACGCCCTCAATTCCAATTTTATTGAAGTTCTACAGGTACACTATTGCCTTGAATCCAGTTTTCCTTAAGAAAGAGCTCATTTAGGCTGGGCGCGGTGGCTCATGCCTGTAATCCCAGCACCTTGGGAGGCCGAGGTGGATGGATCATGAGGTCAGGAGTTCGAGACCAACCTGGCCAACATGGCAAAACCCCGTCTCTACTAAAAATACAAAAACTAGCCGGGCATGGTGGTACGCACCTATAGTCCCAGCTGCTCAGGAAGCTGAGGCAGAAGAATCGCTTGAACCTGGGAGGCGGAGGTTGCAGTGAGCCTTGATCACGCCACTGCACTCCAGCCTGGCGACAGAGCGAGACTCCATCTCAAAAAGAAGAGAAAGACCTCATTCAGAGTCACAGCCCTAACTGCACACAGATTCACAGTGGGAGTGGGTCCTGCCCTGTGACTGGGTGTGCCAGGTCACCGCACAGGTGTGTGCTGGGTCACAGACGCACCCCTTCCCTGCCTCTCTGTTTGGTGCAGTGTGCCGCATGTCACTGTCCGTCTTCACTGAATGTGCAGTGTGCCGCCTGTCACTGCCCATCTTTTGGATGCTTGATGGTCCTACCTTTGGCCAGTGGCCACCTCAGTCTGGCGGTGTCTTTTGCTGTGTTGTGGCGTTTTTCTGGGTTAAGCAGATGCTGCAGGTGCCTCTGAATGTTCCCTGCCTAGCCCTGGAATCAGTCTGGCTCCTCTGAGTGGGGAGTGGTGCTGAGAAACCTCAGTCCAGGCGCCGGGCATGCTCCGTGCTCCTGGAGTGTCTTCTCCCATCACTTTACCCTCCAGTTGATGAGTCCTCCGGACTCACGGGTGTGTGTAGGTGGAAGGGGTGGGAGCAAGGAAAGAGGTTGCTGAGGAGGCCCGGAGGGAGTGGATTCCGCCTGTGCTGGCACTAGCCCGGCTGGTGGACTGGGTGGGTACAGGCTGGTGGGAGGGTACGGGCTGCGCGGGTGCGGGCTGGTGGGCTGCGCGGGTACGGGCTGGCGGGCTGCGTGGGTACGGGCTGGCGGGCTGCGGGCACTTTTATTTCTGTGATTTTCCTCTGAAGTGCACATGGCTTTTTCTTGTACTGTTTTGCGTGTGTTTATTTCACAATAAAACGAATTAAGTATGCATAGAAAATATGTCTTTTTTCTCTTGGTGGCAAGATTATGAAAAAATTTTCATGTGCTTTTCTATATTTTCCAAGTTTGAATTTCAGTGTAAGTACCTGGCTTTGTAATGCCCTTTTTCTGTTATACGATCATAATTTGCTTGCTTGCTTATGGGAGCAGTTTTGTGCAGCTGTGCTTGGTTAGTGAAAGCATGTCTCCCTTTCTAGGAAGGTTGTGCAGGACCAGCGTTCCCTGTGCAGGAGCCACTGCGTTTCCTGCAGATTCCGACCGGCACTGCAACGGATTCCCTGCCGGGGCTGAGGTCACCAACAGGCCGTCGCCATGGAGACCCCTGGTGCTTCTCATTCCCCTGCGCCTGGGGCTCACAGACATCAACGAGGCCTACGTGGAGACGCTGAAGGTGGGTCCTGCCGTGCGGCGCTTGCCCTGGGTCCCCGTCCCCTTCTCCCAGTTTTTTTTTTTTTTTTTTTTTTTGAGACAGAGTCTCGCTCTGTCGCCCAGGCTGGAGTGCAGTGGCCGTATCTCAGCTCACTGCAAGCTCCGCCTCCCGGGTTCACGCCATTCTCCTGCCTCAGCCTCCCGAGTAGCTGGGACTACAGGCGCCTGCCACCTCGCCTGGCTAGTTTTTTGTATTTTTTTTAGTAGAGACAGGGTTTCACCGTGTTAGCCAGGATGGTCTCGATCTCCTGACCTCGTGATCCGCCCGTCTCGGCCTCCCAAAGTGCTGGGATTACAGGCTTGAGCCACCGCGCCCAGCCTCAGTTTTTAGTCACTTTCAGTGCGTCATCGTCATGTGGCTGTTTGTGCAGCCAGCTCTCGGGGGAGGGGTAAAAGACCACAGTTTACACCATTTCCCAAGGGGTGGGTGGGCGTGAGGCACGTCCATCAGGAGACGTGCTGCTCTACTTCTACAAGTGTCAAGGCGAATGTCGAGAATGAAAGCATGAGGCACTTGTTGTAGGGGGTCCTCGGAACCAGGTGCCACTCCTTGGCCTGACAGGGAACCCTGCCCCTCCCAGGTCTCCACTGTGCCCCAGGCATGCCCGCCCCACTCCCCCACGGCCCTCTTGGCTTGAGCTCCCTTTGGAGGGTGGGTTGGCCTGTGGTGAAGAGACTTGTGGGCTGGGCTTGGGGATGGGCAGGGTTCTGTGAGGAACTCCAGCCACAGGCTCCCCCATGTCATGAAAGTAAAAGGGGGCCAGGCCCGGTGGCTCACGCTTGTAATCCCAGCACTTTGGGAGGCCGAAGCGTGCAGATCACAAGGTCAAGAGTTCGAGACCAACCTGGCCAACATGGTGAAACCCCATCTCTACTAAAAACACAAAAATCAGCTGGGCGTGCTGGCACACACCTGTAGTCCTAGCTACTCAGGAGGCTGAGGCAGGAGAATCGCTTGAACCCGAGAGGCAGAGCTTGCAATGACCCGAGATCGTGCCATTGCACTCCATCCTGGGTGACAGAGTGAGACTCCATCTCAAAAAAAAAAAAAGCAGAAGGGAAAACCATCCTTTCTTCAGTTAACTTAAATTTTAGACTAAGGAGTCACATTTGTATGGAACTGAAATGTGGCTTTCTGTTAAAATTATTCAGTTGTCTGAACTTGGCCCCGCCCTCCAGCCTTCTGCCCACCCTGTTGTGTCCCTGCTGCCCCCGCACGTGGGCCCCATCTCCATCGCTTCTGCCCTGTCAGGTCAAAGCACTCAGCAGGGCCGCCTCCCCCACCCCTGCTCACATCTCCTGCCAGCCCCCCTCACTCCCAGCCTCCCCAAAGCCCACCTCCGACATGAAGCTTCCCTGAGCCGAGCCTGCAGATTGGGTTTCTTGCGCCTGTAGGATGTCCTGTGGTCTTTCCTGGACAGTAAGTTCTTCGGGACCTTGTCCCCTCCTGTCCCCTCTTGTGTCACCCAGTTGGGTCTTAGCAGGCCCTTGGGCCCCATATGGCAGTGGGTGGGGGGACCGTCTGCTCCCGCCTGGGACCTGTGCTCAGCTTCCCGCCCCTCCACAGCACTGCTTCATGATGCCCCAGTCCCTGGGCGTCATCGGAGGGAAGCCCAACAGCGCCCACTACTTCATCGGCTACGTTGGTGAGTCGGGTTTCTACCACGTCCCTGTGGGCCTGTGCCCTTTAAAGGGCATTCTGTGAGCAGGTCCCACACGCCAGGTGGCCACTTGAGGCCACCAGTAGAAAAGCAGCATGCTCTGAGGAGGGGGGTTCACGTGCAGCCTGGCCGCTGGCAACCTCCTGCGTACCCCATTCCCTGATGGTCCCATGCCCTCGGCTCCCTCCCCTCCTCCTGCCCGCTGCTTCTCAGCATGATGTGGGTACAGTGGGTCTGAAACGCGGCCACCTCTGTCCCTTTCCTCTGCCGGCTCGGCCGCCCATCTGCCTGCCTGCCTCGTCCTCCCAGGTGAGGAGCTCATCTACCTGGACCCCCATACCACGCAGCCGGCCGTGGAGCCCACCGGCAGCTGCTTCATCCCGGACGAGAGCTTCCACTGCCAGCACCCGCCGTGCCGCATGAGCATCGCAGAGCTCGACCCGTCCATCGCTGTGGTACGTGGCGGCCTCCTGATCACTCAGGCCCGTGTTCCCAGTCGTATTGTGCTGAACGCTGTTTGGGAGTGACGAGGAAAATCTTCAGATTTTTGCATTTTGGTTTTTTTTCAACGTTGGGATGAGTACTGTGTTCACGCGGTTGGGATTCTGAAGGGTACAAGAGCCTGAACCGTGTCCTCGCACCCTCACGTCCCTCCCCCAGGCACCACCTCCTGCGCAGCCTTCGTGGCCTTCGAGTGGCCCGGAGAGGGTGTGTCTGGGCGTGAGCATGTGTGGGCACGTGCTGAGTGTGCGTGGATGAGTATGAGCCATGGTGTGTTCCCCTCACACCTACGTTTAAACACGCGGGCGGTCCCTCCACCGCCTCTAGTGTCACCTTCCTCACACCCACACAGACACACAGGCGGCCCCTCCACCCCCTCCTGTGCCCCCTTCCTCACACCCACACAGACACACGGGCGGCCCCTCCACCCCCTCCTGCACCACCTTTTGTTTTCCGGAGTTTCTGACTTGACCTCTCTGGGGGATTTCCTAAGAACGAGCTTCCCTGTTTTTCCATTTTGATTACCTAGTTGTGATTTTTGGTGTGTGATTTATGCAGACCTGCCTGCCCTCAAATATATTTGATGGGGAAAGAGACCAAAGAAAAGCCCCTAGAAATCATGAATGACAGTGACATGCTTAGGGGAGCAGTTAACTGAGTCAGGGGCTTTGTTGTGGATGCTCTGCCTCGTTCAGGAGGAAGAAGGCAGATCTGGGCCTGAAATGGCACAGTCTCTGAGCTGTGGCACAGCCCCAGAGCGCACACTGCACTCTATGCACCTGCTGGGCAGGGTGGCAGGAGTGGGGAACATGGGCTAGAACTCTGTGACTCACACTTTTTTTTTTTTTTTTTTTGAGATGGAGTCTTGCTCTGTCACCCAGGCTGGGGTGAGTGGCGCGATCTCGGCTCACTGCAAGCTCCGCCTCCCGGGTTCCCGCCATTCTCCTTCCTCGGCCTCCCGAGTAGCTGGGACTACAGGCTCCCGGCACCATGCCCGGCTAATTTTTTGTATTTTTAATAGAGATGGGGTTTCACTGTGTTAGCCAGGCTGGTCTCGATCTCCTGACCTCGTGGTCCACCCGTCTCGGCCTCCCAAAGTGCTGGGATTACAAGCGTGAGCCACCGCAGCTGGCCTGGCTCACACTTCTTACCAGAACCTAGTCACAAATACGTCGTCTAACTAGAATTAAGTATGTTTGTTACCGTAAATGCAGCTTGGTGGCTTACAGTGATTGGCAGTCTCTCAGGTCAGGCTAGAGACGGGAGCGGACGCGCGAACGTTGAGGAGTTGAGACCAAAGGGGCCACCCGGTGGGATAACTGTCCTCACCCGTGAGGAGGAGGAACGTCCCCTGTCCCCCGGGGAGAGTGCTCCCACATGAGCCGGGGCCGCGGAAACAGCGTCTTCAGAGGAAGGGAGTGCCCAGTTTGAACTACTCCCATTTCGTCTTTGTTTTCCCTGTTTCTTTTTCTTCCTGTGTTAACATCGGCACGTCTGGCAGCATTAATCCCTAGTGACTGTCGTTACAGGCGGCAGCTTTAAGGATGTGATTAGGGTGATCCTCGGCAGGTCCCCTGTCTCCTCAGCAGGAGGCCTCCTATGTCAGTGTCTTTGGGCAGTTCTCAGTGGTCTTTGCCACCAGTTGCTACCAAGCTTCCAGGGAGATGCTGGGTGAAGGCTGAGACCCAGCGGCCCTGCCTCACAGTCGCAGAGAGAAGAGCTCTCCACTTGGCCCTAACTCATAACCTGCCTCATTCCTGGAAGATTCGGTGAGGCCTAACAGATGCACACCACATACCATCTCATGGGTGAATCAAGGCAGAGCAACATAGTGGAACCTGAGGGGAGCTGGGCACTGGTGCAGCGGGCCGTGCACAGGGCACCCTCGGGGCTCCTTCCCGGCCCCAGGAGGCGAGACAGGCCGGAGTGTCCAGCACGTGCACGCTGGGGGCCTTTGCTGCGCCACTGGCCGGGGGAACGGAAGCCCCTGCCTCTTCGCCGACTGCAGATGTGGGTGTACTGTTCTGCTCATAGTCATTTCGTTTTAGGGGTTTTTCTGTAAGACTGAAGACGACTTCAATGACTGGTGCCAGCAAGTCAAAAAGGTTTGTAGCCGCCCCACCACCCACAGCCGAGCTGAAACACCCAGGGAGACAGGCAGCGGGGTGTGCAGGGGCCGAAGGCCAGCGTCCAGGTCTCAGGCAGCCTCACGGGGCTGGGGGTAGCTTTGTCCTGCCTGGCACAGCTGTGCAGCTGAACGGGGTGGGGTGTCCTGGATTGCCCACCTGGCAACATGGTGAACAGCCCTGGGGACGGGTGTTGCGTGTTGACTTTAGAATGGGATTTCCAGTGTCCTCATCCATCTCCTGTTGAGTGAGGCTGCCCCTAATGACCATGTCTCACTAACAGCTGTCTCTGCTCGGAGGTGCCCTGCCCATGTTTGAGCTGGTGGAGCAGCAGCCTTCACACCTGGCCTGCCCTGATGTCCTGAACCTGTCCCTAGGTGAGAACTGCGGCTGCAGGGCCAAGTCCAGGTGGGGTCCCTCGGAGGTGGGGTCCCTCGGGGGTGCGGTCTGTGCCTTTGCTTCCCCAGTCGTGGCCCCCTTGGTTTTGACTATTAAGGTGTGTGTGAGCCTCCACTGTGAGCACTTGGCAGTGGTTTGCCTATGAGACCAGGGGCAGAGTGGAGCGTCCTCTCCTCCAAGCCTGCGCCCAGCAACCCGGGACCCCCCTCGCCTTCCCCACCCACGCTGCCTGCCCAGGGCACTGTGGAGCTGGGCGTGCTCCCATGGGGTCCTCACGGCTCTGGAGCAGACAGAACACACAGACTCTGTGATGACGCAGTCCTGGGTGGGGGACTCGTCCACTTGGGCACCACTGGCCATGGGTGGCGTAGACCCCTTGGACCATGGCTAACGTGCCGAAGGATCTGGCCTGGGCTCGTGCAGTGAAGCGAGTGTGTGGCCGTGAGCTTGTCCTCCTCGTACCTGTCTCACCATGAGGAGCTCTACAAGGCAGTGACAATGGAACCACTCCTGATGACCACGAGGGTCAGGGTGCAGCGTGGGAGACACAGGACAGAGGCCCCCTCAGGCCTGAGATTGTGCCGGCCGCCCTGGTCTTCCTCACCCTGCCCTGCTGCTCTTCCCTGCTCCCTCCCCCCATATTCACAGGTCTCCACAGCCCTGGGCCTTTTCACAGCTGCTTGGGGACAGCTGTCTGTGGGCCCCTCAGGGTGGGACTACAGAGCAGGTGCTGCTCGGTCTGCCCCATGCCACGGGCACTTGACTCACACGGAAGTAGCCCACTTGAGATGCCTGATGAGCTATGTCCTGTTCCTTCTAGATTCTTCTGATGTAGAGCGACTGGAAAGATTCTTCGACTCAGAAGATGAAGACTTTGAAATTCTGTCCCTTTGAAAATCCTGGGGTCGGGGGTGGCACCTGTGAGAGCCTGGGGCTCCTGGTGCTGCCGCATTTCATCCATACCGCCCGCTCGCCTGCCGAGGGCTGCGCCCCGTGCTGCCTCCCCCCAGAGGGCCACCCGCTCTGCTCGTGGACTGAGGCTGCGCTGCCCGGGAGGCCTTACTGCTTGGTGTCCGACTGCCCAGCTCAGAGTGCCCATCAGGGCCTGTGCATCTGCACACGGAGCCGTCTGTCAGGAGCTTCCAGAGCGTTCTCTGGACACTGCCAGCCCCGCGTTAGCGCCTGGGCCTCAGTCCCACTTGCTCCCAGGCGCCAGTTCTGTGGTTGGTTTGGAATTAAAGTCCTGTTTGAAGTTGTCAGACACAGACATGAATTTCTGGGGCGCTTCCTGAGTCAGTCTCAGAAGACCTGTGCAGGCTGGCATGAGAGGAGCAGCAGCCACGCTGCGGCCCCACGCCCAGGGACCGGGCTGCTCTCGAGGGGGGCGCCCATGGCTGTGTCCTCTGCCCAGCCTGGTTACCAAGGGCCACCTCGGGGGGAGATGAGGTCGGAGGAACAAAGGCAAAGGTTGCTTTGGGGGAGAAGTATTCAGGAAGTGGGTGTGTGGGAAACCTGAAGATGGCGTGCAGAGGACATGGTGTGGGCAGCCTGGGCAGAAGGGTGGCTGGCTGTCCTGGGGCTGCTGCTAGAGTGCCTGTCCTCAGAGTGTCCCTTTCCAGGGCTGTGGCATTCTGTGGTGGCTTCCCCAGGTGTGGTGAGGGGTGGGGCGGGGCCTCCACCTGTGACAGTCGGGCTTGAGGGTGGACGGTGCTTCTCCTAGGAGCCTTCCCTGTGTCCTTGCCTTGCTGAGAATTGCCCTCCTGTGTCACTGAGGTGTTAGGTGGTTTAGGGCCAAAAGGGGAAAACCACCCGAGCCTTGTGGTGTGTGATGGGCAGACATCACGGGGTGGCATCACCTGGCGGCATTTCCGGAACCTCAGCCCTGATTCCAGAACCCACCACCGCCTGACCCTGTGTAACCTGCTGTCCTGGGTCCCGGGTGCACTCTGCCCCGCTGCTGTGCTGCCTTCCTGGGGAAGTGGCTTTGCCCCACTAGGGAATGTAAACAGGAGGGCTTGGGGAGCGTGGGCACGGCGAGCATGGGCACCTTTCTCATGAGCACCTACTGTGGCGTTGGCAGGACTCGCTGCTGCTGCTTGTATAGGTGTGGGGACCGGAGATCCCTCAGGACACACGAATACGTCGTCTAACTAGAATTAAGTGTGTTTGTTACCATAAATGCAACACTGGCCGCCCGCTCTGCACTGACTGGCCCACCTGGGTAGCAGAGGACACCATCCCCAGTCCCCCCCCAAGACATAGTTTTATTTCCTCATATCCTTTCTCCCTTGGGTGTAGTTGGGGTGGGGAAGGAGGGAAGGCTGGGGCGATCTTCATTCCTTGGGCTCTGCGTCTGAGTCCATGGTGCACCGCTGTGCTGGGAGCTGTGGGGGCCTGCTGTAGTGGGAGTGTGGAACACCTTGACCAAAGGGGAGCTTTTTCTTGTGTGTTTTGAAAAAGGCTTAATGAAGAGAATGTTCATTCTTAGTAGTATAGTTTGCAATTCTTAATGGCAAATAATAAGTTTCAGTAGAAAACAAACCTTGTGTCTATTTTTTCCTCAAGTTATAATTGTGATTTCCAAAAAAAAAACCAAGTGAATGTTTCAGCCCATAGCATCACGTAAAGGATGTGGCTGCCTGTGTGGTGGGCTGTGGGAGCCTGAGCAGGTACGTCCCTAGCCCTGGCAGGCGGTCTGTCCTGCCTGTAGCGTGGCTATCTGTGAGCGGTGACATCCGCCCTCTCATACAACCCTAGAAGGAGAAAGTGTAAGGAAACTAGGATTTTAGGAAAGTAAAATGGTTCCCATTCTTCAACAGGAGGAAGTTGGCGGAAAGTGCCCTGAGTCGTAGGTTTGGCTCAATTTGAATCATGGCAAAGCCTTCCCCAAGCGAGCAGTGACTGGCCTGGCCTGTGGGAAGGCCATGCCTGGGGCACAGCAGGGGGCTTGGTGAGGACATCGCTCACTCTGGCCAATGCGTCCCTGTGGGCAGTCCTGGTATAGGTGCGAAGGGCCCAAAGCCAGACAGGAGGGGGCACTGCTGGGGCCCTGGTGAGCTGGCTGAGGACTTGCAGCCTCTCAGATGCTCTTACTCGCTTCCTGTGGCTGCTCTAGAAGATGACCACATTCAGTGCCTGGAACAGCACAGCCTCTTCCAGACCCGGAGGGCAGTCAGTCATCGTGCTGTGGGTAGGGCTGCTCCTGTAGGGGCTCTAGGGGAGAATATTGCTGTGTCTTTAGATGCCAGAAACTGCTTGGCTCATGGCGCTTTCCTCCAACCTCACAGCCAGCAACATGGCCTCTCTCCAGCTTCTGTTGCTGGCATCTCACTTCCTAACTCGAACGGCCTGCCTCCCTGTTAGGCGGACCCCTGTGATGGGCGCCAGCCTGTAATCCCAACAGTTTGGGAGGCTAAGGGGGGAGGATCACTTGAGCCCAGGAAAGAGAGGCTACAGTGAGTCCAGACTACACCACTGCACTCCAGCCTGGGCGAGAGCCAGACCTAGTCTTAAGATGACAAAAAAAGGCCCTGTGATGACACTGGGCCCACCTGGATAGTCCAGAAAGGTCTCCCATCTGAAGGTTCCTCACCCAGGCCCATCCCACAGCCCCTGGCAATGCTTACCCAAGTGAAATCCTTTTGTTTTGCCTGGATTTGTCTCTTGGCCATAGAAGGGTACTGAGACCCACAGCTGCTGCCCCCACAGATGGGGGACCCTGCCTGCCTTCCACTCCAGCACACTGTATGCTGCTCTCTACCCAAAAAGTGCTCTGTGGGACAGATTCTACCAGGAGTGTCAAATCATTCCAAGTGTCACTTAAAAGGGGATGCAATGGGCCAGGCACGGTGGCTCATGCCTGTACTCCCAGCACTTTGGGAGGCCAAGGCAGGTGGATCACTTGAGCCCAGGAGTTTGAGACGAGCCTGGCTGGCAACATAGCAAAATCCTGTCTACAAAAAATAAAAAAATTAGCCAGGCATGGTGAAGGCCTGCAGGCCTACCTACTCAGGAGGCTAATGTGGGAGGATCACCGGAGCCCAGCAGGTCTGCAGAAGGCTGCGGTGAGCCACGATCGTGCCACTGCACTCCAGCCTGGGCGACAGTGAGACCCTGTTTCCAAAAAAATAAGGGATAGGATGAAAAGTTAAGCTCCAGGGTTGCAATGAAAATAGCAGAGTTAACTTCGGTGAGTTCAGGATGTAAGCTGTGGTGACACTCGGGCATAGCCTGGCTGGAGCCCAGGGCATGGCTGCAACTGTTCAGACCCACAGTGGGACTCCCTCAACTAGGCAGGAACTAAGGTCCAGAAAGGCCCTACTGGGCCCAATGAAGGCGCTTCTCTCCCATTCAAAGCCAGCTCCGTCCTCAGTCTAAGAAAAGTGAAGCGTTCCACAAACAATTTTCAGGTCAATTTTTACTAGTGTCTAGAAGACATTTAGGAGAATTCCAACTGATTACCATTTACAGTGATCACAATGAAACTACTCAGAGTTATCACTGAACTTCAGTAAGAAAATACAACAGAGTACCATCAGGACACTGACGGCAGGGAGAAGGCAGGAGACTGCTCTATCGCTCCGCTCATGTCTACACTGCCAAGGTCCCCACCACACCCCCGCCCGGGGCAGAAGAGGCAGCGTGCAGATCTCTGCTGCCGGGAAAGAGCTCCTGAAGTCGTGGGATCTGGATACCGCTGGAGACGGGGTCTTCTGCGGGTCTCCCACTTCTCGAGGGACTACAGGGAGAGGCGTCTCCAGTGGGCAGCCTCGGGTCACTTCCACAGCTCCCCCAGTGGCTTCTCTGTGGCAGTGCGGATGGTGTCCTCAGAGAGCACACGGATGTCCTCGTGGACAGCTTCAATGCTTTTGGAAGCATCCACCATCTGTTCCCACCGGGGTTTCGGGAGAAAGAGGCCCATCAGCATGTTCCAGGCTGGGCATGGGAGCCCACACCTGGAATCCCAGCACTCTGGGAGGCCCACGAGGGAGGACTGCTTGTACCCAGGAGTTCAAGACCAGCCTGGGCTACACAGGGACACCCAATCTCTGCAAAAAATTGGCACCACTGTACTCCAGTCTGGGTGACGCAGTAAGACCCTGTCTCAAAACAACACCATGTTTCATTCTGTCCTCTGTGCTCGTGCAGATTTCACACAGGCCAGGCTCTGGAAGGCCAACCTGAACCTCCTGGCAGTGTGGTGACCTCCGGGATACCCCACACCTCTCTGAACCTCACCCTTGATAGTGCCCACGGTACAAAGCCACCCGGCATTCCTGCCACAGCCCTGATGCAGGAGAAACATGACGTGCCAACTGCCCACTCCTGCTCTCAGCCGACCTGAGCCTCCTTGTGACCCCAACCCCGATGAGTGCCCACTTGCAGGAGTGAGGCATAGCCCTCAGCACAGCCAGGCCCACCCAGCCCACCAGGTCGAGGCGACTGTCCCTCCAGCTCGCAAGCAGTGAGTGGGAAGCACAGAGGGCAGACCCTGCCCTGCCCATGCTCCTGGGCACTGCCTAGAACGTAAGGAAGTTCCACAGAAGCCAGACAGGACCAATGCAACACTGGGCCTGACCCGTCCCTGAGGGGAAGATGAATTTGGTTCTAACAGCTGTGCCGTACAATGGCGTGAATGGTGCCAGGAACGTGGGGAGGGCATGAGCACACGGGACAGCCTTCTCTCCACCAGAAGGAAAGCAGTGAGAGGAACTCAGAAGCACTGGAGTCTCAACGGCATCCCGGCTTCTGCTGTCAGGTGGCGCGGGACCCTTCTCAAGCTTCTTGAGAGATTTCCGGGATACCCCACACCTCTCTGAACCTCAACCTCAACAGCAAATTCTAGAAAATCTGCCAGAAGCGTAGAAGGCACTCGGAAGAGTCTAACCATTTCATGAGGTGTGACTGTGATGGAAGGAGAGTGACTCCCTACACAAAAGCCACCTTCCCAGATGCCACTCACTGGCCGCTGTGCAGCCACATAGCTGTCGCCCAGAACCACCCAAGATGAGCCTCTCCGGGCAACTGACTGCCAGAGGGAAGGCCGCACTGCCAGAAAAGGGTGCTGCTATCCCGCCTGTGTTCCGGGAAACGAAAAGCTGTGACCAGCATCATCTGCAGGCACAGCTGGTCAGGCTGGGGCAGGCCCTCGAGCACTGCTGTGTGGAGCTCAAGGGACAGAAGCTCTGCGGACCGTGGCCACGACGACAGTGCTGGCGCCGGACGTGCCAGAAGCCGTGGCCGCTGTCTGGAAAGAGGCCA